CGTTTTGGCTGCCAGAGGCACTGTGGGCTGGTCCTTTGCTATTTCTAGGCTGGTCCCGCGGGCCAGATTTAAGAACCCCACAAGCCGCATGTGGCCCATGGGCCTTGAGTTTGACACCCTGGTATAGGTTCTCCTGCTTGAGCAGCAAGGTGGACTAGAAGACCTCCAAAGTCCCTTCCAGCTCTATTCTGATTGAGACGGGTGGAGATAAGCGGATGTGGACAGTTGATGCATCTTTGCAATTGTAAGTTTGGGTAGACTGCAAAATGTCCCACTTTTGCTCATGTGATCAAAGATGTGTTGCAACAGCTGTAACTTTGGAAACTGGGGGGGTGGGGTAACTACCATTTGTTCAATGCCATTGTGACTTTGAATGGTGGCTCGACAAATGGTCGTAACTTGAGGACTACCTGTATATAAGTGAATCATACAAAGAGCAAAATCTTGGATATGCGGAAATCACAGAGGCACCATTTTCTATGATGAAAGTAACAATTAATTTCTTTTTTCTTTTCTTTTTTCAAATTAGCTTATGAGCAGGAAGACGAGAATAAGAAGCCCAGCATGGTAGTATTCCAAATGATAAAGTCTGAAGAAAGCCTGCTTGAAAATCAAGAACCATCACAAAGGAATACAAAAAATTGCATAATAAATGAAGGAAATAAATTTTCTCCTGGTCACAGTGAAATCCATGACCTCCCAATCCAGCAAATTCCCCAACGAAAAGAAGGAAAATACCTCAGATATGTCAAAAGAGACAGAGAGAAATTTGATTTCAGTAAACATTGCCCAATGCAGAATAAAAAGGAAGAATATGAATATGAAAAGAATGGGCAGATTATCAATCCTAGTCCCTCTCTTGCTTTACATAACCCATCATATATCAAAGAGACATCTTATACATTTATAAATTGTGGGGGAATTTTCAGTTTGAACAGTCGTCTTATTTCCCATAAAAATGAGGAACCACGTGAGTTTGGAAAGGAATGTAATCAGAAACGATTGCATGTTTTACCCCCCAAAAATCCCTTAAGAGAGAAACCCTATAAGTGTCCGCAGTGTGAAAAGACTTTCACCCAGAAAGGTAAACTTACCATACATGAAAGGATCCACACGGGGGAGAAAACCTACAAATGTCTGGAGTGTGAAAAGATTTTCACCGAGAGGCGTAAGCTTATCATACATGAAAGGATCCACACAGGGGAGAAACCGTATATATGCCTGGTGTGCGGAAGAAAATTCAATCAGAGCGGCCAACTTACAAGACATCAACGAACCCACACAGGGGAGAAGCCGTATACGTGCCTGCAGTGTGGAAAGAAATTCAGTGGCAGTTCAAACCTTATGATACATGTAAGGAGACACACGGAGGAGAAACCATATAGATGCTTGGAGTGTGGAAAAAGCTTCCGTGACAACAGCGTCCTTGTTTGCCATAAAAGGATCCACACCGGGGAAAAACCATACAAATGCACGGAGTGTGGAAAGAGCTTCAGTCAAAACAGTAGCCTCTTGCGACATAAAAGAATTCACACAGGCGAGAAGCCGTATCAATGCCTGGAGTGCGGAAAGAGCTTCCGTCAGAAAAGCAGCCTTTTGCAACATAGAAGGATGCACACCGGGGAGAAACCCTATACGTGCCCGGAATGTGGAAAGAGTTTCAATCAGAGCAGTCATTTTATTTGCCATAAAAGGGTTCACACGGGAGAAAAACCGTACAAATGCATGGAGTGTGGAAAAGATTTCAGCCAGAATGGTAGCCTTTTGCAACATAAAAGAATTCACACAGGAGACAATCCATCCAAATGCACCGAGTGTGGAAAAGGCTTCAGTAAGAACTATAAACTCTTGCAGCACAAAAGGATTCACACGGGGGAGAAACCGTACACATGCAAGGAATGTGGGAAGAGCTTCAGTTGCAGCAGTTATTTTATTTGCCATAAAAGAATTCACACGGGGGAGAAACCGTACACATGCAAGGAATGTGGGAAGAGCTTCAGTTGCAGCAGTTATTTTATTTGCCATAAAAGAATTCACACGGGGGAGAAACCATATAAATGTCTGGAGTGCGGAAAAGGTTT